GAATATTGGGAGTAGCCAACTGCAGTGGCCACTCCCATTGGTGACAGGTACTCGGCACCGCTAAGAGGACTCCGCCCCATTGCCTCCCGTCTACTCTATCCTGTCCATATTCTGTATACTCCTACAGACCCAGCACCATATGTATTTCATGTTGAATTTTCGAAAATCCTTCTGAACCCATGATGATTCAGGATGGTATAACTCTATCTGTGTGTTGCTTCTCTATTGACATTTCTCAATGACAAACACCATACATTATTCTTTATATNCAGTGTCTCTCAGGTACATACTGGGAAAGGTTACTAACAGCGGCCTTGGTCCAACTGCTTTAACGCCTTTCCATACTTCAATGCGGTGGCACTTGACAATCGGAGTGCTTGCGGGCGTCCCAATCATCCTGGATATGTCGTAGAGGCTCCGCCTATCAGATTCCTTTCTCGCCCTATTTTCGGGAATATATGGCACCCTCAAATTATGGAAGACTAGGTTTCGCGTCCTACCCAACATCATTTGAGTGGAATGGTTTACCATGGATAGTTCTCTTTAGAGGACTTCCATTCTCAGCCACTATTGTCACCGGGACCGGAGTACGTTTTCTAGGTCTCCGAGCTGGAGGAAACGGTGGTCGCAGTAGTGGCTGGCATTATAGATCGGCCAAAAACGGGGATGTCTACCCGGGTGTTACGCCCGAAGAAAAATCTGAGTGGACAAACATCACTCGTTGGGGGACAGGAAAACCTTGTTTCTAATGCACGCGAATGCCTGCAGTATTAGGAATAAGTGGGGAGAGCTGGCCACAGTGGATGCGGGGACAAAAGCTGAGGTGATTGTTCTGTCTGAAACGTGGCTGACGCAGGAAGACCACATAATCGAACTAGTTTTACGCCAGTTCACAGTCGACAGATAGGACAGGAAAGGGGTGCCCAGGGAGGGGTTGATGTAGCAGTCCCAGTCAGACAGGATATACCCCATCACGAAGATAAAATAGCGCAGTGAACCCGAAATGTTCAGGTGTGCTCAATTTCGTTGGTTCTACCTTCGAGGAGGGTTAGCATATCAGGAGTCTACAGAAGCCCGTAATGCACACCCGAAGATGACCAGGAACTCCTAGGCACCCTAGATAGCTAATACAGACACTCACAAGGAGTTTGTATATTGGGAGATTTCATTTTCCCGAAAATCGATTGGGATGTTGAGCGGGCACCAACAGAAACACCGGAGAGCGCATTCCTAGAATGGATGCAATCGAGGGCCCTACAGTAACATGTCCGGGAGTGCACTAGGTACAGAGATGGAGATAGGCTATCTCTACTGGACCAACTTATTACAACGAGGGTGAGGG